CCACATTCATTAGACCACATCGCTTCATTTTGAATGACAATGCATGAAAATATTCAACACGGAAATACCGTCTATCAATAGTTTTCAATACTTGAATTTATACTGAAAATCAGGTAGCTTTGAATCTCTTGGGAAATCGGTCCTATTTCTAAAACAACTCTTTTGTTAGGCCCTTGATGGTCGAGGTGCAATGCACGTTGCTATTGTCCGACCAAAACTGCTCCAGTCAAACCCTATAGGGCACTGTTCTAGCGATATAACTTGGTTAATCCCTCAGTGAATATCGTGATTTTCCTGAAATTCGTCTGCCAGATAAGTTCTCTGTGGGCTATAGATTGGTTATATTTTCATTAAAATGAATTCGTAGTAGGTTTATTTCCCCACTGAGTATGCGAACGAATTTTCCACGGTCTCATCCGTGTATTTTACAGCAGTCACAAAATTCCTGACAAGAACCTGCATCTTTGTGCGCCCATTAAAAATGATACTCATCAAACATTTGCTAGCATCGTGGCCTCTCTTTCGTAGGTTGAGGACAGGTGTTGAGATTCCCTTCAGAAAAACATTAAACTAGAATTATTGGTTAGTCTGAACCAGAATTTATCAGTAAACAGAACGGTTCCCCACTAATCTCTAGTTCTAAAAGATGTAGAATAGTAAATGGGCCTCCACGTGTGCAGGAGTGTATGGGATGCAAATATTGGGTCTTTATGCAAACGTATCTTTCACGTGTGGCCGTCTAGAAACTGTAAATCATGGAGCTCATGAACCTATTAGTGGTTCCTACCTCATTACATCCTTCAAACTTTAGTTGTAACTGATTTGAGCCGTTTGTTTTTGCATTTAGCACGATGTTTCAGGGGAAAATCCAGTTTGAAATTCTGTGCGTTACTGAGCGAATGCAAAGCGGAAATTGCTTCGTGTGAGGGAGATGAAGTCTATTAAATCCATGTTAATCCTTATTGTAACGGGCAAATGACGACTATCACATGAATAATATACCTAGATAGCCTTTAAATGGCCCCAAGAACTATGGACTGTACTTTCAATCTTCAGATCCAACCCCTTTAAACTATTTATTATATATATATATATATATATATATATATATATATATATATATATATATATATATATATATACGCTAGTTTTACTGTTTATTATACACTGAAGTGACAAAAGTCATGGGATAGCAATATGCAAATTTTCAGATGGCAGTAGCATCGCGTAGAACAGGTATAAATGCGCAGTGCTTTCGCAGAGCTTTCATTTCTGTTCAAGTTATTCATGTGAAGAGGTTTTGACGTGATGATGACCGCACGACGGGAATTAACAGACTTTGAACGCGGAATGTTAGTTGGAGCTAGACGCATGGGTCATGCCATTTCGGAAATCGTTAGGGAATTCAACATTCCCAGATCCACTGTGTCAAGAGTGTGCCGAGAGTATGAAATTTCAGGCATAACATCCCACCATGGACAGCGCAGTGGTCGATCGCCTGCACTTAACGACCCAGACCGGCAACGTCTGCAAAGAGTCGTAAATTCTAACAGACAAGCAACACTGCGTCAAATAACCGCAGAAATCAATGTTTGACGTACAAGGGACTTGTCTGTTGGAACTGTGCGGAGAAATTTGGTTTTCTTGGGCTATTCCAGCAGAAGACCGACTCGAGTGTCTTTACTAACAGAACGGAATCGCCTGCAGCGACTCTCGTGGGCACGTGAGCATATCGGTTGGTCCCTAAATGAATGGAAAATCGTGGCCTGGTCCGATGAGTCACGATTTCAGTTGGTAAGAGCTGATGGTAGGGTTCGAGTGTGGCGCAGAGCCCACGAAGCCATGGACCCAAACTGTCAGCAAGGCACTGTTCAAGCTGGTGGGGGCTCCGTAATGGTGTGGGCTGTTGTTTCATGGCATGGACTTGGTCCTCTGGTGCGACTGGACCGAACATTGACTGGAAATGCTTATGTTAAGCTACTTGGAGATCACTTGCAGCCATTCATGGACTTCATGTACCCAAACAACGATGGGATTTTTATGAATGACAATGCGCCATGTCACCGGGCCTTGTTCGCGATTGGTTTGAAGAACATTCTGGACAATTCCAACGAATGATCTGGCCACCTAGATCGCCCAACATGAATCCCATCGAGCATTTATGGGACATCATCGAGAGGTCTGTTCGTGCCCAAAATCCTGCCCCAAACGCTTTTCACAATTATGGACGTCTATCGGACAGCATGGCTCAATATTCCTGCAGAAGACTTCCAACGTCTTGTTGAGTCCATGCCACGTCGAGGAACTTCTATTTTTATTAATATATGCCATGACTTTTGTCTCTTCAGTGTATAAATATAATATAATTTTCGAATATTATGTACAATTTTCAATGCAGCAAAATTGCAAAGACAATTTTATTTCAATATGAAAATGAGATTTTTCAATAAAAGTTAATCGTTTGGAATTCTACAGTTTTTTTTTTTTTTTAATCTTATGCGTTTTTGCATTAAATTCTAAATTTTATGGTTATATCGACCCAGCTGATTATATATATGTATAAATATTTATATCTGTATATATACTTATGTATAATTTTCGGTTAATGTACAAATTATAATATATCAAAATTACAAAAACAATTTTATTTCAATGTGAAAATGAGATGTTTGAGGAAAGGCTAATCGTTTTTAATTCTACAACTGTTTTTTCGTATTATTGTAATTTTTTTTTTTTTAAGAAAACTAAATATACCCGGGTATTTCTCATTTAATAGCAGGAATTGTATTTGTAGTGTGTGAGTGAGATATGGGGAGGGTTCTTTTTAAATAGCAGGATTATAATTCTGCTGGAATGAGTGAATAAGACAGTTCCAATTCGCTTTTTTGGTTGATTCTGTAAGTATTGATATCCCTAACAATGCCTCCTAACGTAACAAAAAACGAATTTTCAAATCATTTTTACGCTATATTCATTTTCCTGCCACTTTACATTCATTCTACTGTCTGACAAAATATAAGAAATTAATACCGGATATATAGTTATTATAAGTATTAAAATGTATTTAATATTTCTCCTGAATTTATAAGACTTTCATAAAGTTGATTTTAGATCTTTTATGAATTAATACTTTTACATAAATTTAAAAAAAACATTATATTTTTTTTCATTTATGGACATTGTACAAAGATCTAATAATCCATCAAATTATTATGGTGATTTTATTTTAATGCAAAGGCGTTAATTTTATACCTCTTTTTTATTTAGATTTTATGAGTTAAGAAAATCATTTTAATTCTTTTTTCGATGTATATTGCAACAAGAATAGTTTAAATCTTTTGAAAATCCCAGACAGTTTTCATATTTTGCATTGATAGAAGTTCATAATGAATTCTAAGTTTGTGATAGTTTTGGTTGTTGAAGAATCTTCAAAAGTACTCTCATAAAGATAACTGCAGGTAATTTTTCGCTTTTTAATCTCTGTCTAGATCGAATGCATTCTTCTGTAGGAGCCAAGATTACGAATTTTAGACTTTTGTAAAAAATATTCGTTAATATGTAATTCATAACATCAGCATACTTCAATGATTGAAATAGTGTTCGTGTAATTAATTTACATTATTCAATCAGAGTTGCTTAAATGAAGTTAAGGTAATTTACTATAAACTAATAATAAGGAAATTAAAATATTTTTCAATGTATATTGCAACATCAATGTATTTAAATCATTTGAAAATTCCGGATAGGTATTAAAATCTATGCATTGATAGAAGTTCATAATGAATTTTAAGTTTGTGATAGTTTTGATTGTTGAAGAATCTTCAAAAATTTAAATCTCTTTTTAATCTATTACTTTCTTCTGTAAGAGACAGTTAGAAAATTGAGACTTTTGTAAATGATTGGTTAGTATGTAATTCATAACGTCAGCATACTTCAATGATTAAAATACTGTTCGTGTAATTCATTTAAATTATTCAGTTAGACTTCTTTAAATGAAGTTAAGGTAATTTATTACAAATTAATAATAATGTATAAAAAACTATCAAATTTAATCATTTAATTTTTTTAAAGTATTTTTTTTAAAAGTTATTCTACGTTTTTTTTATTTTTATACAAGAATAATTTTTTGGATTAAATATTAACTTACATATTAAAAGATCTAAAGAATTTTCAATGAATGGAGAATACGTTATATATACAGAATTAATAAAAATTTAAATTGAAATTAAAAGCTTTTAAATTAATATTTATTCAAAAATTTGCAAAGACAGCATTATCACTAACTATTACCATAACCACAATTTTTATCGCAAATCAAACAAATTAATTTCTTTTAAAAATATATTTTATATATTTACTTCAACATAAATTATTCTTGTAGGGAAGAAGTTCGCATAAAGTGTTTTTAAAATATTCTGCCCTTCAGACAAATTGTAACGAAGTACTTATCAAATTATTCAAACAAAATTTGATACATTTTTTCTTCAAATAAATTAGAATATACAATGAATTTTAAAACGAAAAATAGAACATAAAATTTGAAAGTAACGATAAACTCTTCAAAATTAAAAATATTATCACTAATATATCACTTAATAATTCTAATTAAGTTAATAAATTCAACAATTAAGTCATTTGTGATTTTGTTAGATGAGTTTAATTTTCGCTGTCTGTTTTACAAGAAAATCAAAAAATTTCCAGGGCAACATATAATTTGTGTTGTTGTTTCTTATCCCACTTGGCTGGCCAAGCCCACGAGCCCATACGCACTCATGATTGAAGGGGAAGGAAGCAGCTTCTGTTGTGATGGAGCACCCGTAGGTAGAAGCCTGACTTTGGCTCCGTGACGCTCTTACAGTCATAGGAGACCGGGACCTACGGCTTAAAGTGGATTCCGAACCACTACAAACATCCATGGCACCGCCGGGATTTGAACCCGAAACCTGTGGCACCGAGCGCCAGAGCGCTAGACACTCGGCCACTCAGGTCCCAAATTTGCCAACGGCACGCGGTGTTCCCAGGTGGTCACCCACCCAAGTACTGACCGCGCCCAATGATGCTTGACTTCGGTGATCTAACGAGAACCGGTATATTCAGCATGGTACGGTTGTATACGTAATGTATACATGTACGTAATGTATACATAGTACGGTACAGCATAGTAAGTTGTTATGAATATAAAGAAGAAAACCTTAGATTTGAATTAATGCTATTTCACCACATCCGTGATATGTCAAAGTTCCCAAGAAGGTTTAATCAGTAGTGATTGGCAGTAATCCCCACTAAATTAAAAGAACTAAGTCAAGATACGTTAGCTTTAGCGCGCGTATTAGATATCATTAAATTAAATTATTCTTATTTTGCATTTTTTTTATTTTCCAGTATCTATATAACAGGCATGAAAAAAATTGTAATTAAAAGTTTTCGAATTATTTTCTGGAAGAATAATTCAAGGAAAGAATAAACAAAGAAATAAATCTCATTATAATATAGTATTTTTAATTTGCGTAGTTTATTTCTAGTACCTATAGTACGCATCAATATAATTATTCTCAAGAGATCTCGAATTATTTTACGAAATATTATTTCAAGGAATGAATAAACAAAGAAATAAAAATTTATTTTTATTTAACTATAATTTTAAAAATCAAAATAATTTAATTCGTAGACAAATTAATCTGATAAAAATTGACATTTATAATAGAAGTATATTATATATTTATATTAAGTAAACTGAAACACATGATAACACACTAGAAAGAAGCTGATGATGTGTTATAGTTATTATTTTGAACTTATATCACTAGAAAGAAGCTGATGAAGTGAGTTACTCATTAAATGGAATATAATGATGTAATTTATATTATTATTAAAAATGTGCTATCATTTTATGAAATTTCTTAATCAATTAAAATTTTAATAAACACATGCTAAAGCCACCTAACAAGATAAAAAAGAATAAAATTGACGTTATAGTATCATTTGATAAATTTTCAGTTTTAAATTATTCATCAATCCAAACACAAGAACTATTCCTTCACATTGATAACTTCAGATAACTTAAAGAATTAATTATAAACCCATTACAGAAACTTGATCCTTAAGGGAAATCTTCCGACAGACCAGACATTTAACAGCCAAAGCGGCGTAATTAGCGAGTGTAGCTTGCTTAAATATGTATCGCCCAATGTCTGAAACCGATTCACACAAGAGTTTATGTTTAATAAGCTTTTCTCCTTCGAAGAACTGATTATTAAAGGTTCAGATTCAGTAATATATTGAGATTAAATTGTGAATATGCCATACAACTTTAAAATAAACTCAATAGTTTGTGTTGTACAAATTCGTTCTAAAATTCATCAGTTTTCAATTAATAATGAATCTCGTCTTATATTATTAAAATGTGTTTTGCTGTTGTTGTTGTTTCTTAACCCACTTGGCTGGCCAAGCCCACGAGCCCATATGGACTCATGATTGAAGGGGAAGGAAGCAGCTTCTGTTGTGATGAAGCACCCCGTAGGTAGAAGCCTGACTTTTGCTCCGTGACGCTCTTACAGTCATAGAAGACCGGGACCTACGGCTTAAAGTGGATTCCGAACCACTACAAACATCCATGGCACCGCCGGGATTCGAACCCGAAACCTGTGGCACCGAGCGCTAGACACTCGGCCATTCAGGTCCCAAATTTGCCAACGGCACGCAGTGCTCCCAGGTGGTCACCCACCCAAGTACTGACCGCGCCCAATGATGCTTAACTTCGGTGATCTAACGAGAGCCGGTATATTCAGCATGGTACGGCCGTTGGCATTTATTAAAATGTAAATATATTATGAGAAAACGGTTATGTTATTAACTGAAGCAATAAGCGTATGTATTTGAAAAATAATTAACTTGAATTCAACATGATTTCTGTTTTTCTAAATGTCTTTTGATAACACAATAATCAAAAGAAATATAAGATATTCTATTTTTTTTTAAAATTCAAAAGTTTTGAAGACATAAATTAATTCTTATTATTAACGATCATCTAGGAATTCCTTTTTTTTTCAAATGGGAAATAAAAAAATCAAAACATAACAGAATATTAAATAATGGTTTCTTAAATTTATGAATAAATTTTAAAATTAAGTAAAGTCAACTATGGACCCTATTTTATACAAAATATATATAAGAAAATAATTTTTTAATAGTTACTAAAATATAAATAAAATGATTGGTTCGGAGAGAAGTTAGGGTCTAATTGCCGAGTGACTAACCGAGTACAGTTTTTGCCGAGTGACAGTTTTTGGTTCGAGTCTCGGTGACGTCATTTATTGTGGTGGTACGGAATCCAGTTTAACCCGTAGGTCCCGCCGTTGCAGAGCGTTGGACGTAGAGCTAACAATCCTATCCCGTAAAAAGAAAACATCTCCTGTTTCAGTATCTGCCAGTAGGCAGACGGCCATGATCCGATAGGGACTGTAGTGCCAAGGGTTAGTTATGGAATCTATTAAACAGATGTCTCTACGTTTACATGCTGAAATAATGATTGTCTAAGAAGTATTTTCTCATGTTTCGAGTGCATTCGTAAAAATATATAAATAAGTGACTAAAAAGGGTGACGTTTCATATGTCAGGCGATAATCCTTTTTATATTTATAAATAAAGATTTGCAAAAAGTATCTTTAAGGTATTTCAAATGTATATGTAAACTGTTCACAACTTCAACTTTCCGAAGAAATGTCCCAGAAAGTAAAGTATGTAATTTAATTCACATAACACATTCGCCGAAATTCCAAGAATCATCAAATTAAAAATTTTAAAAATCATCATATTTACTCAACACACTTTCTCCGCATTGCTGAAGAAAAAAAAAAAAAAAAATATTTTTTTACTTTTTATCGGCCAGTTCCATTCATTCATGTTATTTATATGAATGAATGGAAATTAATTTCCTCACATAATTTGAAATAATTTATAATATCCAAATCATGATCATAGAAAACCGAATTTATAAGGCATGATAATATTGTGTACGTCGTAGTGTTTCATAGTCAAGTCATCAAAAATTTTATTTTAGAGTACTTTTAAATGAATTTAAAAGTAATTATTGGCGACTAATAGTATGGAAACTTGAGTAAGCTTACATCATGGACGCTCGGTCCTCTTTAGAAAATAAAATATCTAAAAATTGAATAAATAATTGAAGTAAAAAACATAATAAACATATTTCAAATAAATAAGTGTAAGTGTGAGATAAATACTTCATAGTGAATTGTAAAATACGTTAATAAAATTATAAATTAAATACTTACATTTGTAAAAAAAGTTTAAAAAAAAACCAGTTATATGAATAAGCAAGTAAGAAAGCAATTGGCATAATTTCCTGTTATAAAAATTTTTTTATGGGGGAAGGTTTTATTTTAAGAATTCTTCTGCATATTTTCATACATATTTTAAATATTTATTAGGAACAACAATCAAATCATTAGTTTGTCCTTTTTAATAAAACACATAATGACGACAATGAATAAATAAGCTCAATTATTTCATCCAAATATCAAACTGCAATATTTTTCAATGATAAAAATCATGGAAAATATTCCTATGCGTATAAAAAATAGTTAAATAACTTCTTCAATTTGCAGAGACATGGTGATAGCAAAATATTTTAAACAATTATTTTTAACTAATTTGAAAAACATTCTGAAATCCAGTTTTATTAATAGTACGGCTAATATTTGAAAAAAAAAATATATAAAATATAGGTTTTATAAAGTAAATAATAATAATATTTAAAAATAAATTGATGTATATTTATTTATTTAATAAATATATATTTATTTATTAAATAAAAGATGTTTGTTTATAAAACCAAAGACGAAACATATTTCGTTCTAAAATATCTTTGTTGTTTCACTTAAAAAAAGTCTTTTAGAAAACAAAAATTCAAAAATACTGTAAAAAGCAATTTGATTTATAATATGTGGCAAAGATCAAACCACTTACTTTTTTAAAAAAGCGTAATATTTGTTAAACAACATAATTTGTGAAAAAATTTGTGCCTATTTTTAAAAATTAATTCATAATAATTTAGCTTCCATTATAAAATACGTATATATATAATACACAGAACTTTTTTTATTAATTAAATCATCATACAGTTCACTGCATTTAAAAATACAGTAGAAAAATGTTAGAATCCATTATCTTAGCACCGAAAGTAATTGTTTTTTTCTCTTTTAAGCGTAATGAAGCATTAAGGCTTTTCCTTTCTCTCTCATACTAATTTATGAATTTTTATAAATCCAATTTCACCCACGAACAGAAAACTACATTTCATTTAAAAAGAATACCGTGAAATCATATTTATTTATTCGTTAAAATAATGAAAAGTTTAATCTCAGGCTTTAAATGAAAGCTTTGTTCAACTCCTTTGTTGGTTTGTTTGTTCACTTAAGCAAATAAATATTTTTAACATTTATCAAAACAGATAGATATACAATATACATAAATTGTTTGTCTTTTTTTTTTATGGAATTTGTTACACTATAAAGATAAGGCTAATAATAATAAAAAAAATAACAGCATAATTTAACACTAATCAAATATTTCACTTTGCACCTGTTAATAAAATGTTTATTTATCAAAATAATGAAAAAAAAAAAAAAAAAAAGGATATAAAAAAATAAATAGGATATTATAAGAATAATATTTCAAAAAATTAGGAAGAAAGAGGCAAAAAAATGCTGTTGCTAAAATTTTGAGATATAAGTATAAAAACAAATCCTGTCTAATATATTTTAAATGTGAGACCTGATGGCCGAGTGGCTAGTGCTCTGGCGGTCGGTACCGCAAATTTGGGGTCCGAGATCCGGTGGTGCCATGGGTGTTTGTAGTGGTTCGGAATCCACTTTAAATCGTAGGTTCCGGTCCTAATAGGATCGTAGAGCGTTGCTGGGGCATTGTTGCTCCACGTCCTTAGCTTATCTTCAAGCTACACCCACCTTCTGGGTAGTGCTGAGTGAGTACGTCAATGCAGCACTTGCCTTAAGGCAACTGTCTAAGTGTTTTCGAACTATATTAGAAAAAAAATATTTTAAAAGTTTGAAAGAAATTACACATCGAAGAGA